TGTAAAATAAGTTTAGGTGTTGCCATCCTACAGAAATATACCTCTGGTAGTTCCTGCTGGTAAAAAAAAATACACTGACTATAGAAAAGTACCTCAAAGCCTCTAAAAATGTCCCTTTAAGACAGGGGGGTCCAACTCAATTTCATCGCGGGCCACATCAGCATTATGGTTGCATTCAAAGGGCCGGTTGTAACTTTAAGACTATATAAATATACATATATAAATATACAATATATATATATATAATAATGTATCATATTACATAATTGCAAGTGTCTTCAGTGAGCATGTCACAAAATGAGATGCATTGTGGGACATGTAGTTTATGGGCAACGTGCTTCTTTCAGAGCTCTTGCGGGCCACAGTTTGATACCCCTGCTTTAAGAGGAGCTCCTAATGTCTGACAGAAGGAGTTAGGAAGGGGTTAATAAACATACCGTTCATCAGGTCCAGGATGAAGCACAGCTTGTCGGGGGTGTGGAAGGCGTACGTCATGCACACGATGAACGGGCAGTCCTGCACACAGAAGGGGAAGGGGGTCATAAATATTTAATAAAAGTCTTAAAAAGGTCAGAAAAGTGTACGTAAGGTTTTAATGTAAAGCGTGCGTGAAGAAGTGTGTAGATCCTAGAAGAAGAACTAATACTATGATGTAAAAAACATGCATTCATATTAATATTTCACTTAAATACACCATACTTTACCCTGCTGTTTATACTACACAGGGGGGGGGGGCATTTATATATTAAAATGTCAGAAAAATGTACGTCAGGTTTGAAGAAGTCCAATCCAACTTCATTTATATCTGCGTGTATTGAAAAATGTGTGTTTACGTAATATTTGACAGTGGGAATGAAGTGATCATGCTAAGCTAACATGCTAATATTAGACAAACCCGTCATATATATCACCTGAAGAAGAATAGGCTATTTTCTGATGACACTTTCTGGACAAAATGTCTCCAAAATATGAAATAATTTAACATATTTGGGCGTCAAATGGTTAATTAATTAGCTAAATGTATGTTTGGTGGTACTACTAACAACTCAGACATCTTAACTGCATACCTCTTCTGGTATTTATAGAGGTCACAGGTCAAACTATTTGGAAACGTGGTTTAATATTCAACGAGAGAACAACAGGGCACAAAATGTTACTATAATAAAAAAGAAAACACAACGTTATTATCACATAAGTGGAACATAACGTAGCGTAACGTCCAAAAAACCTAATTATTTAAGTGAGGTAAACTATATAAAACACAGGTGATCCTCTCCTACCGTAGGAATGATTTATAAATATCTGGGTACATCGGAAAATGTGCATTTCAGTAATATTAGACCGTGAGAATGAAGTGCTCATGCTAAGCTAACAGGCTAATATTAGATAAACTCGTCATATATCACCTGACACACACTTCGGTGTTTATTAATGACTAATCTACGTGAGATCTGGACGATGCGATGCACTGTTTTTCAGTTTGGTGATGCTCAGCTGTAAGTGTTCAGTAGACGGTGATGATCCGAGTCATGTGATCCGAGTCATGTGATCCGAGTCATGTGATCCGAGTCATGTGATCTGAGTCATGTTGTAACTCACCCCCGTGCTGACTAATGACAGCATGATCCTCTCGTTCAGCGCCAGAGTCTCCCCCTGCTTCATCTTGATCCTCTTCTTGTCCAAACACTTCATGGCATACCTGACATTCAAGCACACACTCAGTTAGCACACGTTTAGAATAACTGTGGTGTTTTAAGTGATGCTTTTTCATGTGCAATATATATATTAGGGGTGGGGAAAATAATCAATACAGCATAGTATCGATATTTTATGATCGCAAATCCCTCCGAAAGAATACGTGATTTCACATTCTAGCAGTTTATTGCTCTTACCCCGCGATTGTTGTATGTATCGCTTAACTGAACTTTGACGCTGGTATCAGTTTTGTTTATCACCAATCTCGGGAGTATTGTGTATAGAAAGTGTTGAGTTATATTTCTCGCGTTACCTAACATCCATGAAGGCAACATGACAGAGAGAGGGCTGTCACTCAGGGTACCAAACTACCCTTTGTTTTTTTGAGAAAGTTACCGGTGCGCCATGGAGGAAGTGGAGCACACAGGAGGAGACAACCATTTCATTGCAGACTGTTATGTTTACGTGGGGAAATGATAGTGTATACATTATTTGAGATATATTTCGAACTCAGACTTAATTTTATGGACATTTCGGCTAGGGGTGTTGAGCTAATTGTTTAAGCACGGGATTGGCAAAACAGGAGAGTCTGTAAACCAGTCTGCTTTGATCTATGAATTAATGTCCGTGACTCAGAGTACCTGCTGGTTTAAAGGGAAACAAACACTCAGCGCACACACAAACACTCAGCGCACACACAAACACTCAGCGCACACGCACACACAAACACTCAGCGCACACGCACACACAAACACTCAGCGCACACGCACACACAAACACTCAGCGCACACGCACACACAAACACTCAGCGCACACGCACACACACACACACACACACACACACACACACAACACACACACACACACACACACACACACACACACACACAACACACACCACCACACACACACACATCACACACACACACACACACACACACAACACACACACACACACACACACACACCCACACACACACACACACACACACACACACACACACACACACACACACACACACACACACACACACACACACACACACACACACACACACACACCACACACACACACACCAACACACACACACACACACACACACACACACACACACACACACACACACACACACACACACACACACACACACACACACACACACACACACACACACACACACACACACACACACACACACACACACAACACACACACACACACACACACACACACACACACACACACACACACACACAGCGGGGCTGAGCAGAGCACAAACAGACTCACATCAATCATGCACCCTGGTGACCGGACATCTCCTTCATAAAACTAATAAAAGGGGGAGTAATCGGGCAGTTCGATGTGTGTAGAGGGGTGTGTGTGTGTGGGGCGGACTGGCCATCTGTAGAATCACAGAACGGCCGGTTGACGACCGGCTCGGTTCGCTGACGGCCGGCACCGCCCCTTACATTTTTATGTTTTTAAACGGAATCATTGAAGTTGCGCTCCACGTTTCCCCGCAGCGAGGCTCCCCCCCCCCGTTGACAGTTCACTAGCACACCCCCCCCCCTCAAATAATGTATGCCCTGTCATTTCCCCACGTAAACATAACAGTCTGCAATGAAATGGTTGTCTCCGCCACTTCCTCCTTGACTTTCTCCAAAACAAAAATCATCTTTTTTCCATGTCCCTTTAGGGGCTCCGTAAAATATGTATAAAAGTGAAATATAAAAATGTATATTTTATTCCAAAAAATTGCTGAACTGAATGAAAATAATATTCAACCTGAAAAATTATTTCAAATACTTATTTCTAGTTTGAATACATCATTGTATTTTTCAAAGTTCAGGATAAAAACTTTTTTTTGAATGATTGAAACGTATGACCCTGATATAGCTCCATGGGGAGCCTGGTGATTCCCACCCCTGATATGAGTAAGGGATAATGTGCAGCGACGCGGTCATTATGGCAGTCGGGCTCCTGATCAGCCTGTCGGTGTTCTTTTCTCCATAATGACCAAGTCGCTGCACATTATCCCGCTTATCACACGGCCACACTCTCAACAAAGTAACGATATGACTCCCACTATTAATTGAAATGCTTTTATTGATTTAAAAAATAGTTGTATGTATTGATTTAAATTGACATGCGTCCGCTAAGGAAAATAGTCCGTTGTTACCGTTTGAAAAACGTAGCAACGGCAGAGCTTTTTGATTACAGATTTGAAAACATGGTTGCTTGCTTTAAAAGTAGCACAATTCATGATGTCAAACCTTGGGAAGTATCTAGATATGCCTGCCCTAATGCCAAAGGAACTGCACACTGAATATGTGTCGCCGTTTGATGTCTATGTCTGGACCGCTGCGTAAAAAGGAGGGTTTCTGCCCGTTACTTCTCCGCTGTTTTCTTGTCCCTCTTGTCTTGTCGGCCAAACTGTATACAGTTCAATCGACCGGACTTGTTTCTGCAGATGTGAGCGTCCTTAACAACGGTGAATAAATCCTTGACAGCGGTCTGTCTGTTCTGGATTAACAACGTGTCACGTGTTCTGAATTGACCAATCAGAATCGAGTATTCAACTAAGCCATGTAATAAATGCCGTTAATAACTGTGCTATATATACCTGGCTGCTAAATCCTCAGAACTGTTACAGGATGTGTTTTTTGTAAATTGTGTAATTGTTATAATTTTTGTATCTTAAATGTTTCTTTATGCTTCTTAGGTAACATGAAGCTGTCTTTGTCTCTTCATGCTGTAACAAATGTAAATGTCTCCTCTGAGGGACGAATAAAGGGATCCTGATTGTGTTTCTCCTCACATCTTCCCGGTGTCGGCCTTCCTGCAGCCGTACACTTCTCCGAATCCTCCTCTGCCGATGATCCGATGAACGCTGAAGTCGTTCATGGTCAGCTGAGGAGAGGAAACACGAGAGGGGTTTCAAAAGAGGACCACATTTCAGAGCACAGGTTCGTAGTGGTTTGAGCTAAAAGAGCTTTTACACGTGGATAACAAACCACAGAACCCGTCGTATAAGTCCCTTGGAATCGTTGGAACTTTATTTTTACACTTAAGTCTTATTTACGTGAAACAACACAACATATATTAGTTTGATAGTGACGAGAGAAGACATATCAGCCCCATCTCAACACAGAATACACATTAATCAAAGCACCAATTAGTGGGAAAATATCAAAGTCAATCACGAGAAAAAGGTTAATTTGAGGACCGTCTCTATTTAATTATATATGGAAAAATGTAAGTCAGGTTTGAATGTAAAGCGTGCGTGAAGAAGTCCAATCCAATCCAACTTCATTTATATCTGCGTATATCGAAAAATGTGTGTTTACGTAATATTTGACAGTGGGAATGAAGTGATCATGCTAAGCTAACATGCTAATATTAGACAAACCCGTCATATATATCACCTGAAGAAGAATAGGCTATTTTCTGATGACACTTTCTGGACAAAATGTCTCCAAAATATGAAATAATTTAACATATTTGGGCGTCAAATGGTTAATTAATTAGCTAAATGTATGTTTTGGTGGTACTACTAACAACTCATAGACATCTTATATATATATTGAATGCTTTTCCTCCTAGCGTCTGTGCTTTTTACTTCAGATAAACAGAAGATCGTATTCCTCCCCTCTCAAGGAATGTGATCTGATTTGATTTGTATTAATCATACAGCGCTAAAATGTGATTTTAAAACTTGTACTCACGTGGATGTTGAGCTCCACGTTCTTCCATTGGCAGAAACGAGTAAATTTGTCACTGAGAAGAAATACAAAAAACAGAGGGTTCAAATGTGGATTAATTGTACGAGACGAACAAATGGTGATTCCATGCACGTGTCCAGTCTCACCTCTCGATGAACTTCTGGAAGATGATTCCTCTCAAGCTGTCGCAGATCTCCACGATGTATGGCTGCAGGAGGACAAACATCGACAAAGACGTGGTCAAAACTCTGTGAAAATTATGTTAATGACTTTTGTCTGATTTAAGCTTCTGTTTCCTTTCTAGTAGCTTGTTGAAGTGCGCTCCAAAATATTTGTTGATCTTGTTTATTGGTATTTATTATTTAGATATTATTTATTTAAATGTAAATATAAATGTATCATTTATTGGTTTTTCAGTTGAATTATACCAGGGGTGTCAAACTCAAGGCCCGGGGGCCAAATCCGGCCCGCCACTTCATTTTATGTGGCCCCACAAGAGCTTGCAAAGAATATAATAATAAGTTTATTATAATGTTACGTGCCGCTTTACAGGAGAACGTTGCCCATAAACTACATGTCCCACAATGCATCTCATCGTGTGACATGAAGAGACTTGCAATTATTTCCCCTAGACTTCTGCTTTCAGACGTAGTTAATTATGAAGTTATTACCCTATCCGATAATAATCCAATGCAGAGGAAATATTGTAAAATAAATACATTATTTTATATTTATTATGTATATTTATATAGTCTTAAAGTTACCACCGGCCCTTTGAGTGCAACCATAATTCTAATGTGGCCCGCGATGAAATTGAGTTTGACACCCCTGAATTATACGTTCAGGGTCATCAACAGTTAAACAGATACTGTTCAAATTAGTATTTGTATTTTTTTTTAAAGTTCAATAAATTGATGTTTTCAAAGTCAATGAATAATCGTATTTAATAATCGTGATATCAATTATTGACCAAAATAATTGTGATTATGATTTTTGCCATAATCGCACAGCCCTAGTTTCTTTCCTTTTCTCTTCTCTGAGACTCGGGGTGTTTCTCAATCGCGAGTACGCTTGCTTGGTAGCACATGTCTGCCGAGCATCTTGCTTCAGAAGCGAGTCAAGAATACTTCCTGGCATTCGGAAAACAAAGTGTGGAACAGGCTAGCAAGTGTGCAGGTGTGCGTCATATGAGAGGCCCCGCCTCCTTACATCTTCCGACCACAGATTTGGGGAAATTGGCCGTGCGCAAAGCATTGTGGGGATTTTAAGAGTCTACTCATGTGCAGCCTCGATATTTCTCCAAACGGAGTACGCCGGGCTCGGTAGATTTCCAAGTATGCTGGAGATTGGAACAGTACTTCGGCGCCACTCGATGACGTAGTATGCTTGAAATAGTGGCTCTGGAGCAGCGATTGAGAAACACCCTCACACTCAACATTTGGCCCCAAAGACACTGCTTTGTTGTGTATGAATATAACATTTGAGCAATAAATGAAACAGGAAGTCCTGACAGGTTGATGTGTGTGAGGGAAAGTTCAATCCAGAATGAGAGCAGAGTTGTAGTGAAGAGGACATGTGTGATTAGATCCACTCAGCTGAGAGAAGGGAAGCCTTGTTGTGAAAAGTGCTGCTCTCTTTATGGATCACTAACGACCGTATGAATCAAAAATATTTAAAAGAAAATAGTTGGAAAACACTACAACGTTTGTGCCAGGAGTTCGAAAATAAACAAACACTTCTAGGAATTATTTTTTAAAGAGGAAACAAGAAACTGTTGACGGAAGAAAGTTCTCTTTACAACGGAGAATGAAAGTAGTTCCGGCAGCATGTCATGTGACGAGAAGCAACCAATCACAGGCGAGAGATATTTTAACGTCCTATAAAGATTGTTACACATAACATCGAAAATAGGTATCTCTTTGTGTATCATTTATTAATTAAATCTGTTTTCAGGAGCGAGTTTTCAGCTTAAAAGGAAAAAATTGACTTAATTTAGTTTATTTATTGACAGGATGAAGTATTGCTCTCTGTAGCCTGTTTTTATCGACTGAATATTCAAATTGTTTACTTTGAGCAGAAGCT